GTTACTGGACACCAACTCAAGTTTCTTTGTCAGTAGGTCCAGGAGGAAGAATTTCATTTCTGGCAAACTTCCAGGTAAAATTCTCATTTCAATGATAAAAGAAAGGCTATTGGATCTCCATCATTGAATTAATGAATAAGGACATGTCTGTTAGTGCTCTTGAATAAGAAGAGTCTTCCTGCCAATGGGCAGTCTCTGAGTGTCACTGTGGGTTCATGTATTTTGGAGGAGAGGTCCCTCCTTTTATTACTCTAGGCAGACAGAGGAGAGAAAGCACAAACTTGGAAGAGTCACACTAGAGACATGGACACACCCTGAGAGAGACTAGATGAAGCACCTGGCAATGAATCCCCAGACAGGAGAATGGGGCAAGGAGAATCACTCCTCCTCAGGGTGTTGACCATTGCCATCCTCTCACTTTCTCTCCTGATTCTAAGAGTTGAGGCCCTCTTCACACATAAAGAGGTGTTTAAAGTTGCACTTACCCCTGGGTTTAAATCGCTGTGAATATGTCACTACTCGTAACCAGTGTACAGTGATAATAAGATACAGTATCTGGCTGAGTCCATGTAATGAGGAGGTCAGCTTTGTTCCCAAGGATGGTGCCTAAGAAGCAATCACGGACCCCAGATCAAGTGCTTCACCCCTAGGGACCTCAACCCCACATTTTTTTCTGGAAAGCCTGAGGACTGAAGAATGAAACGAGTGTGTTCTGCCTCCTGCCACACGATCTGGTTTATGGCAAATCTCACCCCATTCTTTTGAGCATTTTATTCCCTCCCCAGTGAAAGGATTGCTATTGCTTTGTAGGTGAGCAGCAGGCCCTCCTTCCTCCAACAGAGAACCCCATGGGAATCCACAGCGCTGTGTCTGGGGAGGGCTCTCTAGCTGCCTCCAGGTACAGGGTCTCTCACTGACTCAGTTCTGGGAACTACCTTCAGTAGCTGCAGTGGGGGACCAGGGATGGGGGTTCTAACACACACAGCAGTACTGCCAAGCTGAGAGGCTGCCTCTTCCTTGCACGAAGAAAACATCAGTAGTAAGGAATACCTCCAGTGGAACTGCAGATTTCAAGGATAAAAATCATAATTTTACCATTATTTTATGGAATTTATCCAAGTGTCAAAAATAACAAATTAAGAAAACATGCACCTCATAATCAGAAATAGAAATGGCGCTGTGACTCAACAAGTTAGTGTGAACATCGTGGAAAGGAAAAAACACCCTGTACTCATCAGACGCCTGTGAAGCAGAAGGACCTGGAAGGGGGAAGAGGGGATCTGGGAAGGTAGGACGAGGGCCAGAAGATAAAATGTATCCATTTCCTTTGATAGTATAATTTTTTAGAAAAAACATGTTCACCACCATGCAAAGTAAGATGTAATTTGACAGTCATTTCTGAACTGTAAGTTTGTTTAAGAAAATTTGTACATTATTGTTTCTTCCCTTATTATCTAGGTATGCAGGACTCAGCTCATATCAGATGCAGAGGTTCATATTAAAGTATTTTATGCCCAATAATAAAAAATATATCTGTCTACCTGTGTGTGTATTTGTGTGTGTGTGATTTTTAGATAAAGATAATAATCTAAAGTTTAATTCAGAAATTTAAATAAAATCCAGAAAGGGTAACAAATATCCTAAACCCTAAAAATAACAACTTCCATCATGCAACATAAAACCCAGTGAAAGAAAATAATAGATAACAGACTAGTCAGGTTTATGATTTAAAAATATGACCAATAGGAATCAAAACACCTAAAATATCCAATGCTATCCTAAGCAAAAAGAACAAAAATGGATAAATCACATTACCTAACTTCAAACTACACTTCAGATCTGTAGTAACTAAACAGCATGTTACTGGCATAAAAGCAGACACCTAGACCAATGGAACAAAACAGAGAACCCATAAATAAATCCACACGTCTACAGTGAACTCACTTTCAACAAAATGTCAAGAACGTACACTGGGGAAAAGACAGTCTGCTTATTAAACACTGCTGGGAAAACTGGATATCCATATGCAAAGACCCCTATTTCTCACCACACACAAAAATCAAATAGAAATGGATTAAAGACTTAAATCTAAGACCTCAAACTGTGAAACTACTACAAGAAAACTTCGGGGAAAATCTCCAGGACATTTGTCTGGGTAAAAATTTGTTGAGCAATACCCCACAAGCACAGGCAACCAAAGCGAAAATGGACAAATGGGATCATATCAAGTTAAGAAGATTCTGCACCGCAAAAGGTACAATCAGCGAAGTGAAGAGGCAACACACAGAGTGGGAGAAAATATTTGCAAACTCCCCGTCTGACAAGGGATTAACAACCAGCATATAGGAAGAGCTCAAACAACTCTACAGGAAAAAATCTAATAATCTGGTCAAGAGATGGGCAAAAGATTTAAACAGACGTTTCTCAAAAGAAGACATACAAATGGCAAAGTCGTATAAAAAAGTGCTCAAAATCATCAATCATCAGAGAAATGCAAATCAAAACTACAATGATATATTATCTCATCCTAGATAAAATGGCTCATATCTAAAAGACAGACAATAACAAATGCTGACAAGGATGTGGAAAGAAGGGAATCCTCATACACTGCTGCTGGGAATGTAAATTAGTGACAGCCACTATGGAGGACCACTTGGAGGTTCCTCAAAACAACTAAAAACAGGGCTACCATATGATCCAGCAATTTCACTGCTGGATAGATATCCAAAATAAGGAACATCAGTACATCAAAGAAATGTCTGCACTCCTATGTTTGCTGCAGCACTGTTTAGCTAAGATTTGGAAGCAATCGAAGTATCCATCAACAGATGAATGCATAAAAAAATGTGGTAAATATACACGATGAAGTACTATTCAGCCATAAAATAGAATAAGAGTCTGTCATTTGCAATAAGAGGGATGGAACTGGAGATCATTGTATTAAGTGTAATAAGCCAGGCCCAGAAAGGCAAACATCACATGTTCTCTCTTTTTTATGGAATCTAAAAATCAAAACATTTGAACTCACATACATAGAAAGTAGAATAATGGTTAACAGAGGCTGGGAAGGTAGTAGCAACTAGGGGGTGATGTGGGAATGGTTAATGGGTATAAAAAGAGTTAGAAAGAATGAATAACACCTACCATTTGATAGCACAACAGGATACCTATGGTCATAATAGCTTAATTGCACATTTTTTAATTAGGGAAAGAGTGTAATTGGATCTTTTGTAACACAAATGATAAATGCTTGAGGGCATGGATACCCCTTTCTCCATGATATAATTATTTCTCATTGCACGCCTGCATCAAAACATCTCATAAACCCCATAAATATATACACCTGCTATGTACCCATGATAATAAAAAATTAAAAAGAACAAAAGCGTAAAGCATTTGTCATATATTTCATCATAAATACATTACGAATGCAATGTGACTGATGAGTCATCTTGGTCTCTGACAGCTTTCCTGGGGCTGCGTTTTCTCTCCTGAAGGCTGTGCTAAAGCATGCTGCCTGCTCTTTGCTAGAGCATTAATGAGCCCCATTGCATTGTATCCAGTAACTTTATCTTTCTCTCCCACAGGGAATCAGGGAAGCAGCACTGGAAGCTCCAGTGTTCTCTCCCTGCTTGGGGCATTTAACACATGGCTCAGCACCTCTCATACCTGCTCTCCCTCCAAAGTTCATGCTTATTCCCCACAGACCTCACAAATGTCCTGTCCTCAGCCTAAATCCTAGTGGTCAGAGGTCCAGCATGGGATCTACTTGTGAATATGCTGAGGAGTTTTCACATCTATGTTCATAAATGAAATTGTTCTATTTTATCCAAAACCCAGAGCTCATGTGGGTCCTGCAGCCCAGGGGCAGGAAAGTCACTCTTCAGGGAGGTCCCTGCTTATCCACGTGTGTAAGAGCCAGTGGAATGTTTTCCAATGTGGCCTGGTAACCCTGTCATCTAGGGATCCATCCCACAGTGCCCCCTACTTGCCTCAGATCCCAGGTCTTCCAGCATCCCTGGTACTGCTGGAAGGGCATTCTGACTGTTGGCAGATGGATCTTTCTGATGTCACTATTCAGGTCAGCAGAATGAGTAAGTCTTTCTGTGGACAGCACTGCAGCTGACACATCATTTCTTCCAGGCCATTAATGATCTCCGGGCAGCAAATTATAGGATGTGTTACAGGATTGTAAACCAAAAATGAAATTCTAAGACTCCCATCCATGTGAACAGACCCCTCCTCTTTGCCAAGGGCATTCCAAAGTTAATCTGAAAGTTTAGGCCATAATGGGAAGGGGGAGCCAGATATGCCTGCTCATTTTTGGAATTTCTGAGAGAACAGACTTTTTACATCTGATAAGAAACATTTACAATCTATTCTCTCTGAAGCCTGCTACCTGGAGGCTTCCTCTGCACAATAAAACCTTGGTCACTACAATGCCTTAATTTAACCGAGGCATTCCGTTGGTTCTAAGTCTTTAGACAATAACTTAACTCTTTTAACCAATTATCAAAAAGGCAATCTTTGGATCCCCCCAATTTGAGTTGTCCTGCTTTCCTGTACTGAACCAACCTACATCTCACATGTGTTGATTGATGTCTCATGTCTCCTTAAAAATGTATAAAATCGCCGGGCGCGGTGGCTCAAGCCTGTAATCCCAGCACTTTGGGAGGCCGAGACGGGCGGATCACGAGGTCAGGAGATAGAGACCATCCTGGCTAACACGGTGAAACCCCGTCTCTACTAAAAAATAAAAAAAACTAGCCGGGCGAGATGGCGGGCGCCTGTCGTCCCAGCTACTCGGGAGGCTGAGGCAGGAGAATGGCGTAAACCCGGGAGGCGGAGCTTGCAGTGAGCTGAGATCCGGCCACTGCACTCCAGCCTGGGCGACAGAGCAAGACTCCGTCTCAAAAAAAAAAAAAAAAAAAAAAATGTATAAAATCAAGTTGCAGCCGGATCACCTGAGGTGCATCTTCTCAAGATCTCCTGAGGGCTGCGTTGTGGGCCATTGGTCACTGATATTTGGCTTGGAATAAATCTCTTCAAATATTTTACAGAGCTCGACTCTTTTCATCGACAGTTCCTGTGAGCTCAGGATATCTCACTCATCCCACTCAAGTTATGTAAGTTATTATAAGATTTAAACATCATCAGAGAACAAGACTCTGAGCAGGCTGAGGTTTTGTCCCACTTCCCCACCTGCGTGTGTCAGCGTGAGAAGCTCTGCCGTGCTCAATCATACAGTAATAGTCAGCCTCATCCTCAGGCTGGAGATCAGATATGAGCAAGAGCCCTTTATTGGACCAGTCTTCCATCAATCCAGAGATGCGCCTGGGGACCCCGGAGCCCAGGTCATGAAGTGAATTTTGGTAGAGGCTCAGGAGATACCGGGGAGGGCTCCCTGGCTTATGCTGGTACCAGTATATCCAGTAGAGATCAGCACTGAAGCCACTGCTCAGGGTGCAGGAGAGTCTGGCTGATGCTCCCTGAGATGCAGAGAGGGAGGGCGGCTGAGTCAGCACAGGCTGGGAGAGGGAACCTGTGGACACAGATGCACACGGGTGTTGGGTCACCTACCAGCATAAAGTTATTGTAAGATCTTAGCCAGAGGGGATTGGTGAAGCCTGAGGAACATGCCCTGGACGTAGGAGGCCTGTCCCTACCTGAGAATTGAGAGAGAAGCAGCAGGAGAGGGGCCCAGGCCATGGTCAACACAGTCCTCCTGAGGTCCTGAGCGGGAGTGGGCTGCCTCAGGCCTCTTATTCCCTCCACTGGCCTCACAGAGGAGGAGTTATGGATGCAAATGTGCCCCCCACATTGCCTGCCTCTACCTCACCCTATGTATTTATTCAAGTCCTAGGGTCTGTTGGAGGGGGGAGTCTGGCAGGCCAGACCTGGGAGGAAGTGGGTGCTGGGACCACGCACAGGGAGGATGCAGCTGCTGAGTCAGGCTCAGTGAGGGCAGGGTCCACTGCCCAACCCTGGGGAATTTGTGGGGTGGGAGGGGTTGGCACAGCTGTGGCTGCCCACTGGGCAGACCTGCAGTGTCCGCTGCTGCTCTCTGTCCAGACTTCATTCTCTCAGTGGAAATCATATATGTGGTGTTGGTCTGGGAGCCTGACGAGTATCAGTCTAGAGGCATTTATGGGCCATGCCCCGGTCAAGCCCCTGATTACTGATATGAACAAACAGACTTTTTCAGTAAGTTTTTCTTGGATTACTAGAAGGACATGTGCAAACTATCACCCCCATCCAATGAAAGGAGACTGTAGGAAGTTGGGAATGCAGAGGGCTCTGGGAGCAAAGCCCTGAGCAGCTCATTCCACAGGGACCAGAGAAGGAGGCGACTGTGACTTGGATCTCACTGGGATGTGGGGTCCTGCTCTGGGACTAGCAGTCACACAGCATTATAAGGGAGAGATAGGACTTTGGAAATGAAGACACATTTTAAATGCCAGATTGGATTAAAACGCCCTCACCTGACTTGCCACTCACACTTCACTTGTTCAGTCCTCTCATCGGTGATGTATTCTGTCATCCCCTTAGCATGTCATGGCACGTCTCTGTGCTCCAGAGTGAGGGGCTTGGCTTGATTCACTATGGGAGGTTGTTTCAGGTTGTGAACTGGGGGCAGAATAGATGAAACTGGCACTTTAGAAGCACATCTTTTGGTGTCAGGTTCAACAAAGAGGTTGTCAGGAGCTTGGCTGAAGGCAGCCAAGCCGGAGAAGGGGTGTCAGGAGGGGTGATGGCTGATCCCAGGGATCTGGAAGAGGAAGGAAGTGAGAGATGCTAGGGGAAAAAAAGCCATGGGATGACTGTGTGCCTGGATGGAGCATAAGAGAGAGACAGGCATGAAGCTGAGTGTTGTAGATGGATTGTTTTATCGTCATTAACTGGCACGCAGGATGAGAGAGAGACAGAGAGCTTCTGGGAGCTGGTGGTGCCAGGCCACACTGTCCACCCAACTCTTCTGCTTTTGCCAGTGCAGGAGGAGGGGACTGTTACTTCCAGATGGTGGGGCTGGCTGAGTGAGCACAGACTTCGGGCAGGACCCTGGAAGGGAACATGGGGGCACACGGCTCCTGGCACAGAGCCTGGCACAGGAAGGCAGTCACTCTTTTATGATGATGACTGAAGGGCATTGGCGCATCCCTGCTTTGACATCCCTGCTTTTTGAAAAAAGAAAAGCCCCTGCAGGGCAATTGACCAGCAGGGAGAGAGACATAGACCTGTGAGCACAGGGCAGGGTCCACCCGCAGTTGGCAAGAGCAGGGAAGAAGGCCTGCAGGAGCCCCAGGAGCCTGTGTCTGGGTCTTGTTTCAGGACAGTGAGGAGGAGGAGACCCAGGGAAGGATGGAGACACCCATAACCCTGATCCTTAGGACCCAAGCAGAGCTGCTTCAAATCCCTTACACACATTTATATCCCAAGGAGAGATGAGGACCTGAGATGGGCATTTATATGTGTAGTATTAGGTGGACCACATTACACAGACACATGGGTAGCATTAGGTAGGCCAAAATAGTGATCACCATTGCTGTAAGACAAACCCACACTGTTTCTGAGACAGGTCAATGCAGCTATTGGAAATAACCCTTGATTATGTAGAAAAGGATCTTGGGTTCTCCACACAAAAATGAAAGACGCAGCTTCCATTTCTAACCTTTGGAAAGACAATCAGGGACCCTCATATCACACTGGTGCCCACTCCTGTAAAGAGCCTTCTGAGTCCTCATTCTCCAACAGACAACAGGTCACAGTGTCCTTCCCTGGGGTGAAGAACAACCAGAACCATGTCACCCCAGGTGCACAGTGCAGGTGACAGCACAATATCGGCTCAGCAGCACCCAGTGCCAGGCCTGTTGCACCCACACTCTGCCCATCAGCCTCAGAGATGTGTGTTCTGCTCCTGGTCTGTGCTCTTCTGACTAAAGCTGTCCTCCCTTGGCTGACCTTGGTCACTCAAAATGACACCTGTGTTTCTGGATTTGGAAGGCGCCTCCCTACTCACCCCTTTCTTAAATACAGTTAGATCCCATGGCAGTTGAGAAGGATTTTCCCAGGGCTGTTGTTTCATTGATGTTTTCTGTTACATTTTCCATTTCTTTGTTGAGATTTTTTTAATCTCCTCATTCCCTGCAAACCTGTTTTTACTGGAAGACCTTACAATGATTCCTTAGATAACTTTGGGAAGAATTGTTATTATAAAAATTTTAATCACATTAAGTTTTCCAACTACAAACAGGGAATATTACTTATTTTAAGGTTTTTTTATAATGACTCTTGCATTATTTTATAGTTTTCAGTTTAAGACTTTCCATTTTTAATATTTACCCTTAAATATGTTATATTGAAGTTATTATACATTGTATTCTTTTTATTTCAAAATATGTGATGGTTTATTGCTAATATAGAGAATGCAATTCCATCCAGTATCCAATCTAGACATTGTATCCAATGCCTAGATGGAAGCTCTGGGACCAGAAGCATCTCTGAGTCACTCCTAGACTCTGAGCTGGGCATGGCCTGAACCAGTCTCTTTTGGTCTCCTCCAAAGTCTCCATTCAGAGAACTTTTGTCTCTGAGCAAGGGATTTCTGCCTGTGAAAACCAGAGAGAAATAAGAAGGTATGAGCATGAATCAATCTAAAAGTGGAATTGAAGAAAATAAAGTCACATTTTCAGATCACTTGTCTGAAAAAAAAATCAGGTGCTGGTTGAAAATCTAAAATATAAGTCACCCAGTGAGATAAACTTTATTAGAGCCACCAGCAGAAGTGACTACACCAGGCCAGGAGATCAGAGAAGAGGTTTCTGTAATCTCCCAGTGGGTCTGGAGTACTGTGTGAGTCTTGGAGCTGCTGTGCCACATACAACAGTAATAGCCTCATCCTCAGGCTTTAGTCCAGGGATGTGCAGAATCCCTGCATTCGCCCATGTATCATCAAATGCAGAGAAATGAATGGGAACCCCAGGGTCCTGAGTGATATCTGAGTCTGAGTAGCATCTCAGGAGACACCTGGGAGGGCTGCCCGGCTTCAGCTGACCACTATATTGCAAAGTTACCAACTCTGAAGCCACTGCTCAGGATGCAGGCAAGTCTGGCTCATGCTCCCGGAGATGCAGAGTGAAGTCATCTGAGTCAGCAAAGGCTGGGAGAGGGAACCTGCAAGCACAGACACTCGTGGGGGCTGGGGCAGGAACCAGAGATCTGTGTCTTGGGGATCTGAACCAGAGGGGCTGACACAAGCTAAGGAGCTAACCCTAGACACCTAAAACCAGTTCTCACCTGAGCAATGACAGAGGAACATGAGGAGCGGAGGGGTCCAGGCCATGGTGGACACCACCTCCTGTGGCCCCAGACAGGGAGCTGCTTGGCTCAGTCCTCTTTTATCTCCTCCAGGGGCCTGAAAGGGGAGGATCTGTCCACAAAAATTTGTGTATCCTCCTGGTAATTTTTGTTCCACCCTAGGAAGAGCTGAAGTCTAAGCATGATTCTTTAGACATGGTGGGCTGGTGGATGAGACTCAGGGTTTGTCCCATGGGAGGGATAAGTGAGGAAGCAGCTCGTGTACCTTCCACAGACCTGTAAGTAGGAGACTCTACCCAGCCCAGAGAACACACAGCTGTGGTATCTTCCTCAGTGAGTGCAGGCTCCATTGCCCAGGGATAACAGATATGCGGGCACCACTGTTCAGAGCTTGGAAAGACCCAGATTGCCCCCTGCTGCACAATTCAGTCTTTCAATCAGAATCATGTGAGTGGAGTTGGCCTGAGTGCTGGCTCCCTGTCAGGCCGCAGCATCCATGGACCACACCCCTGCTCTGTCTCAGACAACTTATATTCATAACCATCCTTTTTGATTGAGGGATTTCTAGACTAACAGGAAACAGGAGAAATGAAAAACATGACAACTGTTCATTGTGAGGAGGCTTCAGTAAGGGGAAAATGCAGAGGGCTCTGGGAGCAAAGACCTGAGCAGCTCCTTCCAGGGGCCAGGGAAGAAGGCAACTGTGACCTGGCTCTGAGTGGAGAGTGGGGTCCTGCTTGGGGACAAACAAAGCAAACAGTATTTCTAGATGGAATGCATCTTCTAGAAAATATAGTGATATGTACAAACATTGAGAAATAGTGTGAGGTGCTGGGGAATGGCAGAACTTCTCACAGTCCTAGATCTCTCATCTGTTGGCTGATTTTGTGGGCAAGACATACTATGTATCTCTATTTTGTCGCTTTTTCTGCTGCAGATGACCTTTCCCTGCCAGCCCAGCGCAGTGAACACATAAGTCAGAAGAGTCTGGGAGCAGGACCCTGAAAGACGGATGTGATGTTGACTTTCATGGTGCTTAAAAAAATGTGTCTTCTCATTCCAAAAATATTTATGAAAAGATCAGCACAGGCCAGCAGAGAACCACGCATAGGGATATAAAAGGTGAAACCATAAAGGTCACTGTGGGTAAGTCAGGGACAGAGAGAACAGGTGGGAGGATGGAAAAAGAGAGGAGAGGTCCCTACTGATGACAACGGCATCTGTCGTGGAGAATGTGAAATTAACTTAATTAGCTCTCCTTAGTGCCCTGGCCATCCATGTGAGGACTGACTGATGTTTTTGAGGTAGGACTTCCTACCAGTTCAGGTTCTCTCTTTCTTCCTCTTCCTTTACTGCCCAGGTGAAGGGGTTTTCCAAGGGCACGTTCGCTGAGGAGCTCAAAAGTGTTACTCTTTCTAGTTTGATCATTTTCCATTGAAGGCCAAGACTTCTT